TCAAAATTCGCGGATGATGGAGCCATCTGGATCCGCACTAAAAGCATGAACATGGTCCAAAATTTACTCCAAAAATCTCTTAATAAAATACAACAATGGGCTGACAAATGGGGCTTCTCCCTTAACTCAGAAAAAACAACAGGAATAGTATTCAAACATAAAAACATGAAACCCGCCTCCCCAATCCTCCAGCTAAACAATCAAACAATCAAATTTCAAAAACAAACCAAATTCTTAGGACTTATTTTCGATGAACATCTCACCTGGGATGCTCACATCCAAAACCTAACAACTAAATGCAGTAAAGATATAAACACCCTAAGATGCCTAACTGGCTCTAACTGGGGAGCATCCAAAGATACCCTCCTCTCTCTCTACATATCACTAATTAGATCAAAACTAGACTACGGCTGCGCCATATACAACACCCTAAACAACTCTCTATCTAAAAAACTTGACTCAATACAATATCAGGCTCTCAAACTAATTACACGCACCCAACATGGCACCTCCTACACCTCACTTCAGGCCTTAACAGGAGAAATGCCACTAAGTCTACGCAGGGAACAGCTAAGCTTAAATTTCTGGGCCGCGTCCCAATCAAACCCTCTCATCCAAAACTTAATAAACCAAAACATCAGCCCCAAAAACCAAGCTCTAGCTCGTAAACACCCCTTACTTACCCCAATATCCCAAAGAATAACAAACTACCTAAATGAACACCAAATTAAAAATCTTAAACAAAACTGCAAACAATCAAATATCTTCACCCCTAAACTTAAAATACCCAAAATAGACACAACACTAGCTAGCCAAATAAATAAACAAACCGACCCAAACATAGCTAAAACTACCACACTAGCATACATACACGAAAATTGGCCAAATTGGTGTCACATTTACACGGACGGATCCTCAGATCCGACCTCCAAACACACAGGTTTCGGAGTCCATACCACACAACCAACTAAAACCACACAATCCTTCCGACTCCCAAACAACCAATCAATATTCACGGCAGAACTAATGGGCATGGCCTCAGCCCTCCATAATCAAGAATCCAAAAACCACAAAAAAATCCTAATACTTACCGACTCCCTAAGTGGACTGCAAGCCCTCCAAAACAAAAATACCAAAAACCGACCTAAATTAATAAATCAAATACTTAAAAGCTCCAACGACCTAACTAAGGCAGGCAAACAAATAACCTTCTTGTGGATACCCGCCCACGTATGAATATACGGTAATGAAAACGCCGATAAAGCAGCTAAACTATCCCTCAAAATCCCAGAAATAAGCTTAAACTTACCCATCTCAAAATCAGAAATTAAAAGTGTAAACAAGCAAAAAATCACCAAAAAATGGCATAACCTATATCTAAACTCAAATAGCCAAATCAAAAAAGTGCTCAGCAAACCACTAACCAAACCAAAAATTCTCCATCCATCCAAAAAAATCGACAGAGTAATCACTAAACTCCAAACAGGACACACCAACCTAAATAACCACCTAAAAAAATTTAAAAAACACACTACAGGTAACTGCCCACACTGCAAACAACCAGAAACCCCAGAACACGCACTCATCCACTGCACACACTACCTAACACATCGAACCGCATTACAAACCACCCTCAATCTAAACAAGGCTCTAACTCTAGAAGCAATACTAAACCCACAAAATAAACTAGAAAACTTCAAGGCCTAAGGCGTATTCTTAATCAAAACGGAACTAATAAAACGCATCTAAAAACACAATAACTCACCAAATCAAAATCACATAAACAAACAAACATCCACCATACCCAGCTCCCTTAGTTCTCCTCCCCAATCCCATCGGCATCTATTCCAAATCTCAAAATTCCCAAATTCTATATAAGCAACCCCTAAAACCCCCCTCTTGGGTTGCACAGACCACCTTCGCCCCTTTCGGAAACACATTAAATGGCCTGGCCGGGCCCGTGTGCGAAATACGCATCAGTCGGAAAGCGCACGTTAAATCTCCAAAGTAAGTAAGTAAGTAAGTCTATTAAACTATGTATACATAACTCTTGTCGCATTGAATAGTATGTCTAGGAGATGCGCTCCCCTTACCTTAGGCTAGCATCTATCTAAAAAGCTATAACTGAAACTACTGATATGTTATATATGCATTTTACCTGATGATAAGTATTACTTGCTAAACTATAATTATCTGAAATGATGTATAAATATTACACCATGATAACTCATAAAAGCACTTGATGTGGATCTAATTATTATAGGATAACTTAGTATAAATGTTATACCATGATAACACACTCAGTAATATTCCAAATAATTATTATAATTATATTACTGTACATACCCTCCCACATATATATTGTAAACATCATCGCCTATTGTACAATGTCATGAGTGTACACTCCTTAACATGGCAATGGGTAGTAAGTACAGTTATTAAGCAACGCGACCATTTTTATAGGAATTGCCTTTTTTCATCAGCGATCTGTATAAAAAGAAGAAATTGTATTCCGCTTTAGTTCCGCATTGCCACTTTTATTCGCATCTATATTTAGCTACACATGACGGATATCGAGTCAGTAGCACTGCCATTGGCGCACTTTGCAGAACGGAGTAAAATAATAAACACAAGAAGTGCAGATGATTTTGCTCTTATTAAATGTCTGTCAATTAAACACATAGTTGCATGTGACAGATATAATTCTCTATAGTGTTTATCCCAGTTCTGGTCGTATCCCACTTCTGGTCGCTACATACCTGCAGTTGGTGATAGAGCATTCAAGAGAAAAGTAACTTAACCTTGAACATAATTGTTTATGTAATGATATATCTTATCATAATGTCCTTATTGTTTAATATCTTCAGTGATAGGCGGAGGTATATGTTTCTGTTTCGGAAAATGTAACACTGATAATACACAGAGTATGTTCAATATATATTGAAGGGAATCTTGATAATAAATTGGGAATAACTTATTTCCTCTTCAATAGTATGTAATTTATCCTTATAATGAATAAGTTTCTTTTCTGTTTATTGATGGAAACGATCTGCATAGTAACGTAACAAAAAACATTGAGATATTGGGTTGGTTGTGGTTGTTTTGGCGACGTTTAGATGATCTGGAATTGTGGTGGTCTAACACACATTGTTTTACAGTTGTTGATAATAACATACCTAATGTCGTCGTTGCAACCTGTGCACTCGGTTGCAATTGCAAGCCTTCACACCTTCAGAAACTGATTATCTGAATGACAATGTAATTAAATTCATTAAGGTGTGTATGATAAGAGACATATATAATATCCCGTTTACTGTTGTGAAAATCATTATTTCGCTAGGTCATCATAACCTGTAACGACCACCATGTTATATATTATGCTCAGTTCGTGCCTGTTGTATGTTATCTTGATAACCGATCTATGCGTTGTTGAACCCATATCACTCCTCCTCTGACCTGGGACAGATAACGTGACGCTTATGCATTGGCAAACTGTACACACTAGTCATATTAATTACTGCTTACGTAAAGCAGTCGAACTTAAAATAGGTAAATAGGCAACTGGCCTGGCAATGAGGTAACGAACAATTAATAATTCAACTACAGCAAGTCTCCCAACAGTCTGTGAAAAATGGGATACAATTCTCGACTTAGATATATCATGGAAGGATGTTTTTATCAGATACAGAAAATGTACAAAAGATGTAAAATTACTTGATTTTCAATATAAATTTATTTATCGCATCATCTATACAAAGAAAGAATTGTTTAAAATGAAAATTCTCAATGTTGATCTGTGCTCATTTTGTGAAACTGATACTGAATCCTTACTTCATGTATATTGGGACTGTAAGCATGTTAAAGAGATTTGGGCTAAAGTTGAATGTTTTCTGAATATAAAATGTTCAAAACAAGTTACATTTACAAAATGCTCTGTTTTACTTGGGTACAACTCTAACATTCTGTTAAATGACATCATACTGGCATGCAAAAAATATATATCCATGTATCAAGTATTAAGAAAAACAAATTGTCATTTGAAAAGTTTCTATAGACTTTAATTGATATATTTCGGATAGAGAAATCAATTGCACACAAAAACAATACAATAAGACAGTTTTACAGAAAATGGAAAAATTTGGCAAATGAATTGTCTAGTTAATATGTCTCTATTTCTTTTTCTTTTAACATGAACAATTTCCGCTAATGTGCTGGAAGGATTTAGCTTCATGCTGAGTTCATAAACATGGCAAATGTAGCCTGCCCGTTTCTCCATTTGTAAACATTGTTGGACACCTGTAGCCAACTTCAATTTGCTGTCTGCTGTATAGGTATGTAACATACACCTAATAAGTATACCACATGACGTGCTACTCAATGTATAACTCTGTAATATCATATACTGAATTGAATAAAAAAGAAAGTTAAAAAACCAATTGAAATTCATTACGACCTTCATGATAGCGATACATCAATTCCTTTACTTATTAGGATATTAAAACACTATTATTTGAAGATACTGACATGTATAACGTCAGCTCCAGAGAACAACCAGTTTCGAACGTAGTCTCAAAACAGGCAAAAGAGCAGTGAAAATCAGTGATGTCACCAAACACACCATGGACTTTGAACGAGATGAAAATTCAATAAATATTATAGTATAGTATACTTCATTGTAACGTTAACAGTACGGTCAATGAATTGGCTTAGATTCAACTGTTCATAATCTAGTGTGAACAAATAAATTCACATTATAAACTTAACCTCGTACTTTGAGCGAGTACATCCATTTGGTGAAGGGAAGAGACAAGCAGCAACCATTTCCACCGATAAGCTTCACACAACATCTAGAAAAGCATTGAGTTCACTGAGGCGTATATTACTGACACAGATACGTTCTTAACAATGAGCCTGGCACTAGACAATCAGCAAATGATTTCATGTAATCAGTAATAGTGTTAAAACTGTTATAACGAGATCAAGTTGAACGGCGTTCTTACCTGGATGTCGAGAAGGGGCATTTCATGAATCGTCCCACTTACGTCCCACGTGACCTCGTGTGCAATGTCACAGGTACACAATGTACCTGGTAGATTGTAATCTCAGGTATATGTCAGCATATCAGGTTTAGTGTATGTAAGAGTGTGAATAAAATAACAAGGTATTTTAGCCGACAGTTAAATGTTATGCTTAACTCATCGTACTATTTTCATAAACAACACTTTTGGAAGGTATATTCTGAGTGTCAAGGTAGGGTATATACGTGACGGGTTATTTTGACATACTAGTAGGATGCGATTTGGGCGTGTAACGGACGCATGCTGAGCGTCATTTCAAGCAATAATAAACAAAAGTCGAACCCAGTTCGCCCTGGTTTATGTTGAGACACGGGATGGGGAGAAGTTAATCTTTGCTGCATACAGGCTACTGTACTGTACTGTACTGTACTGTTTCCCAAGACGATGGCAAAATGGATCTGTAGTTCACTCAGATACATAAGTCTGAACGTTAGTATTCAACTCCCGATAGGGATACTTTGCTAGCTCTAAAATCAGGAGACAACAACGTATCAAAATGTTTGCCAAAACTTTAGCATGCGTCATTGCACAAATCGCGTCAGATATGTCCCCAATCTGGACACTCAGATTATACCTATCAAATGTTGAGAAATTATATTATTTACGTTTTACACATTCACAAACTGTACTCATAGAGGTAATGATCTTTGATCTGGTGGAAGTCACTTTGATTACATTTACACACATCCTGCACATTATACGATGACTTAACCGACACACAGTAAACTATGGTTATAACGAACATGCTTATAACGAACTGGCGGATATAACGAACTGTATACTTTTGGTCCCGTCCATTTGTTGTATACACGCTGGATATATGCTTATAACGAACTACGGTTATAACGAACTAAAATAAGTGGCCCCTTTCAGTTCGTTATAATCGTAGTTTACTGTATTTGGACACTATAATTAACCCTTACCACTGTTATATACTGCTGACTCTGTGACTTGACTACCTCAGCCGTCGTATGAGCGTAGATAATTATCATTGATAATTGCTCTTTGACAATGACATTTTTTTCCATTCAGGTGTCATCTGTTCTGGACTAAAGCAGCTCTCACACTTTGCCGAGTCGCGTCCCGAGTATGGACCCGAGCTGACTCGGAGGTACTCGTATGGAGCTCGTAGCGAGGTCGTACTAAACTCGGGGTAACTCGGGGTACCTCGTGCTGATCTACGAGACTTCTGGAAGTGCTCAAACAGTCGGGCCGCAATCCGAACTTCTCGTAAGCTCGTAACAAACTCGTAACACACTCGTCCTACTGGTAGTACCCTCGTGGCGACCTCGTGGTGTTCGTACAGAACTTGTATGAGGATCGTCTGCAAAATGTATTGCCGTGTTGACCGAGTTTAATACGAACTGTACGAGAGTAATTCACGCCGAATTATTTAGCAGCTCGTAGCCACTTCGTACCAAAGTCGTACCAAACTCGTACAGCTCGTATCGAGATCGTTGTGCTCGTATGCAACTCTTAATAGACTCCTATTAGACTCCTATTGGGCTATATGGGTTCGAATCCCGGTTCGCCCAAATTATGTTTCTTGGTTTGTCAGCACCATACCCGTGCTCGTGGGTTTCACCAAAGTGGTAAACGTCCAAGACCTGCATCACTTCGGGCTTTCCTCCCACATTAAGCTGACACGCCACGATATAACTGGAATATTGTTAAAAGCGGCGTTAAATCCAACTCAGTCACTCACCCCTATGGGACTCGTAACAAACTCGTAGCGTACTTGTATGATACTCGTATATAAGTAGTCTCCTCCCGAGTCCTCACCGAGTTAGGCTCGGGAGTGCTCGGCAAAGTGTGAGAGCTGCTTAAGTATCACAATGCTCCTGTTTACCTCCATTAACATGTGCTCCGCGCGTGTAACCGAAGTAACCCGACCTGTTGTTTCCGTAATGCAAACAATGGTTGTCCTACTTTCAAAACACGTTTCGGATGTGATATGAGGGATGATTAAAGAGGCACGGACCTCATATTATTTGTTGAAAGAGAAAGTAAATATCAATATAAGAATATAAACTAAAATTCAACACATTCTACCTTTTGCTGTTTTATGCCTCACTCAGTAATATTCCAGGTATATTACGGCAGTCTGTAAATATGCGAATGTGGACCAGACAATCAAGTGAGTGAGATCATAAACATCAATTTATGCAATAGGGATACGATGACATGGATCAACCACGTCCGCGAGCCTGAACACCCTATCCTTTTAGTCCCCTCTTACGAAAGCAAGGGTTGCTGAAAACTAAATCTAACCCGGATCTACACGGGGTTGTCACCATGCAACCCTGTAGCCTACATTCGTTGTACCTAATACAAGAGGAATTAATATCATGTGGATTCTTAAAAACTCTTAGAAAATCCCACATTACAAACTTCATGAAACATTTCATTCCTTGATCCATTGGGCTTTTGTTACAAAACATGATGACCATAGATATATGTGTAGTTGCATATCTATCTTCAGAGGTTCAGGGGGGCACGGGTGGCCCAGTCGTCTAAGGCGCCGCGATTCGCTGTGCAGAGTTGCGTCCCCTGGACACGCCAGAAACCTATGATTGTGGGTTCGAATCCCGGTTCACCCCGATTATGTTTCTAGGTTTGTAAGCACCATACCCGTGCACGTGGGTTTCACCGAAGTGGTAAACGTCTGAGACCTGCATCACTTCGGGCTTTCCTCCTACATTAAGCTGACACGCCGTGATATAACTGGAATACTGTTAAAAGCGGCGTTAAACCCAACTCACTCACTCACTCACTCAGAGGTTCAGGTCAATTTGTCTAAAATGAAAGCTATTGCAATCTGAAAAAACAATATGTGAAATGTTTGACTTCCTCATTGATAACATCTATGTAAAATGTGGGGGAAAGGCATTTAGGCAAAAAGTAGGCATCCCCATAGGCACCAATTGTCCCCTCCCTTCTTGCTATGTTGCTTTATGCATATGAATCAGAATTTCTGCTCAAGTCAAAACAAGGAAATTTGGCCAAGACGTTTAACTTGAACTTGAACTTCAGGTATATCAATCATCTGATATCGTTCAATAACCATCAAATACCAATTCCCATTCCACCTGATCTTGAAATAAAGGAGACCAGTAAGACCGCTTCATCTATTTCATATTTAGATCCTTTATACATCCTCCGCACATGAATATAAACAGTATTAGTTATGCCATGCATGTCAGTTTCATGGAAGGAAAGTCCGAAATAACGCAGGCCACAGACACTTTGGTGACACACGGGGGTATTGATATTACGCTGACAAATCAGGAAACATAATCAAGTTTCTGGCGTACCCCAGGTCATCTGAACAATAGGCTAACTTCAGAGAAGAATCTTTGCAGGGTTGACATTTCGTGCGGTTTTTTAAAATTTTCCTTCTTAAAATGATAATGAGTAATATATAGAATAACCTACTTGAAACTCGGAATTACTGACAATCTGTTCTTCGAGAATGAAAGGTATAGAAGCTGTAATTTCCTCGCCGATATCTCGGGAGATTCATTCACTCCGGACAAATTATCCTTAATTCATCGTAGTTCATTAGCTATTCTCTAGTTTTGATAGCTTCTCTCGGTTATGTCAAAACCAGGGATAAAAGCAACTGAATTGTAACCTTTCATTTCAGCAAAATAAACTTTCCATAAAAATTCTGACCACTGTAACATGTATGACCTGAACTCAACTTCGCAATTTAGACTAGGCATTTTTGAGTAATGCGTGTGGTGAAAAGCGTTATATTTAGACGAGTATATTCAAAGAAAGACACAAGGACACGAGCGGAAAAGACACGGGATATTCTCCCAAGATTTAGCACCTAGGTATTATGCTTTGGGATTTCACATGCATCTTCTGGTGGTATCAGTACTAGTGTTAACATGTGAAACATGCTTAAAGGTATTTTGTACCGGTGGTTCATTGTATAGTGACAATGTGTGTGTGTGTGTGTGTGTGTGTGTGTGTGTGTGTGTGTGTGTGTGTGTGTGTGTGTGTGTGTGTGATTTTGAACAGAACATACAGGGAAGGTATGATGTAAAGTTGTCAATAGTAATTTAGATACGATATGACTTTAAAATCCAATATGTTGTCGATCCGTTAATAATTAGCATATAGCAAATTCCCTTTCACTGATTTACTCACATGGGCAATAAAGACGACAATAAAGACGACCAGTGAGAGCGCCTTGTCTGTTTCATATTTAGATCGTGCATAAAGATTCAGAATGACAAAACAAATCTCTGCACAAGATAAAATGACAAGAGAGTAACTTCAACTTTCGAATAGTCAACGTTACCTTATGTCAAGCAATATTCCAGCAGCTCCAGCACTTGAAGTCACAACTTTTGAGATTCAATCGAGCATGCTCTTTCTACCAAGATTTCAAAGAGCGTCATACGACGCATATTCAAAAGTTATTTTATCAGGCCATAACATTCAAGACCTCATTTAAGTTTTCAAAACGTTTTATGGCAGACATGTGGAGGACATTTCCAAATTGATGTCAGATGTCAACCAGGGGGGCAGGATGCGCTCACCGTTTCGCGAACACCTGGTATTATCACTGTTAGATATTTTCACTTGACTGAGCAATATGTCATGAGCATTCCCAAGGGAATGATATTCCACCAGAAGTGAAATGCTGGACATTTTGTGATAAAAAGCTTTAAGCACCCCCATCCAAATATATAACAATGTATGTGTAGTTGTTTAACCGTTGATAAAATAGGCAGACATTTTCTAACACGATCATTTGAAAGAGTACGATTCACATACGAGTTAGTATTTCCTTTATTTACGATCCACACTCCGGGCTTTACCCGCAGTGAAGCAATAGCGCAGCGAAGCAATAGCATAGTATATGCAATTAATGGCATAGTCTATACAAATAACAAAACATGTCGGGATACTACCATGATCCGGGGTAGAATAGGTCTTCAGCAACCATGCTTGTCGCAAAAGGCGACTAACTGGATCGGGTGGTCAGGCTCGCCGACTTGGCTGATGCATGTCATCGTATCCCAACCGCGTGGATCGATGCTCATGATGTCAATCACTGGATGGTCTGGTCCTGACTCGATCATTTACAGACCGCCGTCATATAGCTGGAATATTGCTGAGTGCGGCGTTAAA